GTTTGACAGCTCCCTCTTTTACAGGGCCAATCACAGCTATCCATTTTCCTGCCACTTTGCTGAATCTGAATCAAGCCTATGCTTCATTTGTAATATCTAACACTACCTGTTCTATTGGAGGCCCATTAATTTTCCATTAAGTAACCTAGTGTTGTATCATGCAATCACTGGAACTCTAACTTTTTAATAATTTACTATAAGTTGTTCTTTTAGGCAAAAGGAAGCTAATGTCCCCAATGGCCTTTTCATTCTCACCTGGGAGATAGATAATACTGCTACACTGTTTCCATATAGCAAGGCTGAAATTGGACAATCTAATAATATTGGAGAGCGATGACTAGAAAGTGATAAAGCTGAATTAATGAATTTAATTAATTTAAGTATAATTTAAAAAGTAAGGGGACTTAGATATCCTTATCCTTCTTTTCATGGAAACAACTCCACCTAGGGGAAACATTTGACTCTCAGTGAGATGTCAGAATAGAGAGTCTAGATAAGAAGGAACAATCTTTTATCCATACAAGATTCCTGATGTTTTTGTCATAGCCTTTCCCTTGGAATCAGATCAAAAGCTGGTCTGAAATCCATAAAGGCTGCAAAAGGGGTGCCATTTGATAATGAAGAATATTTTTAAGCTAAATGGTGTGAGACCAGAATAATGGACTAAGGTTGAACGGTCCCCTCTAAATCCTTCTTGTTCCTTAACTCTAATTATTTTTACTTTGGACACAATCCAACACTTGAAATAAAAATACTTTGCATATACTTTGCTTATTATATTAAGCAAGGTAATTGGCCCATAGTTGGCAGAGTTAAGGCTATTTCCTCTGATCCTCTAAAGAGGGATAACTATGGCCTCATTCCATTCAGAAGGAAAATGTGCTGTGCTATTAATATAAGCTAAAAGAGCATTGGGGCCGAGCAATCTTTATTTTTATTTTTTTCAGCACCTCTGGAGGGAGTTCCAGAAGCTTCTCCAGATTTCAGTTATACAGTGAAATACTCAGCCTCAGGAAGCCATTCAGGGGAAGTCATCACTAAGTGAGGAACCACCACTTGATTATTTGTTTAATATTTCTGGATTTTAAAAGTTCGGAAAGTAACTTGTTCAAAATCTGCAGGTATTTGGCAGATGAAATATAAAATACTACTTATAGGCATCATAACTAGGACGAGTTCTAAACTTAGCTTTTCCCCCCAGTTCTCTTTCAGTGTTTGTCCTTCTTAGATTTTATAAGTAATTTATAAAACGTCTTGTGCTCTCTGAGTGACTGAAGGGAACCTAATGAGTTGTTAGGTTGAAAAGTATACTCTGCAAACGAAGGGCCTTTTTAAACTGCATACCAGCTTGTTAAACAAACCCTAAATAACAGGGCCTGAGAGTGTGGATAATAGATTGGTAATATGACAATATCTTTTCAGAAGAATCTGCTAAACAGATGGAAGTGGAGTTGAAGTAAGGGTTATGAATTTAACAGAGTGGACAAGTTTCTTGCAATTCTAGAAGACCATTTCTTTTGAGTGAGTCTTTTTGTTGTGGCCTCAGAGGACAGTTAGGAATTTAAGAATTACTTTAGGACAGATGGCAGATTAATGGGCAATAGTCACTATCTGGGTTTATTAGATGAAATACTGTATGTGGAACCATAAAATAATCAAATACACTTGCTCCTTTGGAGCTTCAGAAAGTTAGTTCCACATCTAAGCTGGTCTACTCTGAAGCCTGCCATATTATAGTTTTATTTTTATTTTTAGACTGTTGAGCCTATAAAGGAAATATTATTTCATTTGAAGGGAGAAACCAATTAAAATGAGTTGTAAAAAAGCATCTGACTCTTCAATATGAGCATTGAAATTACCAGCAATAATTACTAATGCATCTGGGTACTGGCAAAGCAGTCTGGAGATATAGCTGCCAGGGCTATACTGCCACGTGGCCCAATACAGTCACATAAGATGTAAAATTTTGTAGTGACTATTTTGTTCAAAACTCCAGAGGAATCTTTTATTTTTAACATTGGCTAATGTCTGGAGTGTGTATGGAGTGTATCTAGAGAAAGAGATATATCACCTATGGCCCATTTTTCCTTCAGCAGCAAAATATTGGGAGTTAATATATTCCAGAAAAGAGCTATGCTATTAGGATGGAGTCCATGTTGTTGTTCTCCAGCAGCCAGTGCAGATGGCAGTGGAATCAGACAGCGAGGATGAAAGGGAACCAGCCAGGGAATCTGGAGAAGAGTAGGATGAGGGTCCTGCATCCAGTGCAGAGATGGGGCCAGGACCATCTGGGAGTGGGTTGCTGCCTTCAGAGCCTTTGGAGTCTGGCAGCAGCAAAGCAGAGGACCCAGAGGAGCCTATTCCCAGTGCGCGTGTGCACAGAGCTGCTAGAAGGCGAGAACAGCTGAAACAAAGGGAGCGACTTGGGAGTAAGGCTGGAAGGTGATTGCCCCTCCCATAAGGGATAAAAGTTAGGCCTAGATGATGAAACCTTTGCAGGAAGCAAAGTAGTTCGATCGGTTCCAAATCATCATTGAAGCTCTGTATACTTTAGTTGGTTTTTTCTTGTACTTCAGTTGATTTCTTTTATAGTTAATTGGATACTTCTGTTTTTGGCAGCACTCAACCGAACTGAAAGGTGTGTGCTTATCTTGGGGGACTGTTTAAGATTAATTCCGGCTGGAAATGAAAACAATTCCCAGCATTGCAATAAAGTAGGTTTTGTTTTTAAAACAAGTTGTGAATATAATTACAGTTTATGAAGCCTGGGTCAGAACAGTCCAGAAGGAAGCAGAAGTTAGGAAAGAGCCAGGATAGTTGGACTTTTAGTTGTTTTATTTTGATTATTTTCTTCCGGAGGTCTATGGCTTCTTTATTACCTGTATTATTCTTGCTTTTAAAGTGCAATCCAGCCAGCATTGCTGGTTTATTTATGTGATTTGATCTGTATAGTCACCATCTCATCTTAGCAACTCTGGGCAGCTTATAGTAATTAAAACACTATCAAAAAACAGAAAACAAATCAAAACAAATATGGATCTTTTAAGCTAAGCTTGATTTTTGATGATTATGTACATAAATCCATGCATTTTCAGTACAACAATGTGGAGGTGCTTCCCTATTACCTTTTGGGGAAACAGCTGTTTCAATTTCTCAATTTAATTTAGTATTTGTATTCCCAGTGATGTGTCGGAAATGGTGGTATTTATGTTTGCATGCGCATGAGAAAACTTAGAGTGAAACTGCAGTTCTGTCGATGTTTTATTTAACATTTTCTGTGCATTTTCCAAATAGATAAATATGCACCTTTCCAGATCTGTTATTTGAGACAACCTATGTCCTCACATTCCATATAGATGATTTTCATTAGATGAAGTTATGAACAAAGAAAACAATTGAACAAATTTCTCCAGTGCTCCAATCCTAATCTAGGATTCTTGTATGAAATTCAGTTTTGCCTCCAATTTCCATGGAAGATTAACTCTAAAGATAGTCATTACTGACTTTGGAAGGCTCCAAAGAAATGAGATTTTCTAGAAAAGGTGTTGAAGAAAGAGGAACATTGAACAAATACCTGAAGCATTCTTAGTAATATGAGCCTTCCCCAGTAGGGCTAAAGAGTCAGAGTCTCCAAACAAATGTAAAATAGAATATGAAATGATGGGCACATTCATTCATTCACAAGACTTATTTCATATTAAAACAATATCCATATCATCTATTTTAAATACATATTTGAACCACAGCAAACATATTTTTGAAAAATTTTCATAGAAAAAAAAATCTGCTTTTAAAAAGCTAACACCAAATAGATAAAAATATACAATAAACAAAGCAATTATAATTTTCCAACACAGGCCCTCCTGGTTTATAAATAAAGCAGTAGAGCTCAGTGAGATTTGTGAAAAGTTGTGCTCTAAGTATTTAGAGTAAGAGGTTGTATAATAGAGTAAATGAATTGGGTTTCTAGTCCATTTGTTCTAAATTAGTATTGCCATCATAGATATATGAGATTTTCAATACCACTATCAATATGGTCAATAAATATTTTTAAAAAAATAATTGAGAATTAAAGAAGTTGAGAAAACATTAGGAGCAAATTCTAATTCTTTGAAAAATTCTGTCAATTAATTTATTATTGGAAGAGATAATGCCAGCCAAGAATCCATAACCCACCCTCAGGCCTCAGTGTGCTTCAAGACAATTCCCCTGGTGCCCAACAAGTTCAGCTTCCCTTGGAGCTTGTTAAAACTATTTTAATTATTTACAATAATTAATTTTAATTAATTTAAGTAGGATATTGACATGCTGCAGAGCAAAGTACAAACCTTTTGCAGTGTAATTTATTTGCAAGAATGACTTTGGCATTCCAAGAAAGCTAGTTTGCCTTTTGATAAATGGTGTCCAATGACTGACCATGCTCATCACAACAGCCCTGTTAGTCTGAAAGTTTTTTTCCACAGGAATCATCTTTTCTGCAAGCCAATCAAATATTTTGACTTCCCAAATGTGCCTCAATCCTCGAAACATTGAACAAATAACTTGCTCTAGTTATTTATCAAAACTTTAGGAAGTTGGAAAAAAAAATCCTTGTAATTAGTTTGTTCCAGGTAGACAGCTATGTTGGTCATTCCTGGACAGCTGGTGTCTGCTCTTGGCCTTCCTTAGCCTTTTTTTTTTCTGGCCTCAAATTTAAAGCAAAGCTGGGAGGCTAATACTAAACAATAGTTTTAATCTGTGGGATATTCAAAATGGTGTCTAGATCAGTGTTTCTCAAACTTGGCAAGGTTGAAAAATGCCGACCAATTCTCAGCCACACATCATGTCTCAGAACACTGTCCATCTAGTGATTAGGTGAGATCTCTTCGATATATGGAAATAGGAGAGAAGAGTTCACAAGGTTTCTTTGCTTGACTTCTCATCAGAATCCATGTTGGTAATTTTCTTTTTAAACGTGTATTAATTATTTTTGTTTATGTTTATTTATCTTCTTGATATAGATGCACAAAAGAAGGTTCCAGAGGATTTTGACATAGACATGGATGCACCAGAGACAGAGAAAGCTGCCGTGGCGATACAATCTCAATTCAGAAAATTC